CTAGTGAAGCTGTTGACACAAAAGACCGTGTGTTATATCTGACACACAGCAAACCAAAACACACAAACCATTCAAATCAATTTAAAAAAATTCATCAAGCTACAAACTAGCTCCTAAAAGCCCTTGAACTACCCTGTTGGCAGGCATTAGTAATCTCCCTCTCTAAAAGATGAAAGCCACCATAATAGTGGCCCTTGTTAAAAGTCATATTCAGGCCAAGTGCCATGTTACTGAGTTCTCAAGCAGTATTAGAAGGTTAAGAGGGATCCCCAATTCACAGACCAGAACACCAAGGCTCCGAGTGCTTCAGCTAACTAAAGTCACTGCGACCGTTAAGGGAGAATGTTAGGTCCACCTGATTCCACCTAGCACACTCCACTTCATATGAACGCACAGGGTAGAGCACAGATGTCAGGATTAAATGTGGCAAGACTCAGGTAAATTCTAGCTTTGATGTTGCTGTAATCACAGAGGAAAAAAATTGTCACTTATTTCCAACATAAGCCATTAATTATCCTAGGAAATGAGCAAAATGTTAATTATCTCCCCTTCTTCCCCCTCATCTGAGAAACTCCCATATTTGTTCTCTTGACAACTTCTTACATTAAGAGTTGTAAACACTTAAAAACCCATTCACATGCTTATTTGATATGCGAGGCAACATTTCATCTAGCGCATGCACACACATGCACATGTGTATGACCCCATCCATCTGTCCATCCATCATCCACTACTGTGTCAGATAGCTGTGGGACAAGGAACAAAGACATGCAATAAGTATTATCATCACATCCCTTGTGCAGCACCAGGCATGATTAAGTACTTACTAACTAGTATACAATAATTACTAATTAAGTAATTTCAAGAGACAAGTGTAGTATAGATGATTCCCAACACGTGATAGTTGAACCTACGATTTTTTTGGCCTTATCATGGTACAGAAACGATAGTGTTCAGTAGGAACCATACTTAGATTCTGGCCTTTTCCCAGGCTGTTGACACAGATACTCTGTGGGGATGCAGGGCAGCAGCAACGGGCTGCAGCTCCCAGTCGGCCGCCAAGAAGGGCCACACACTCTGCAGTGCACTGCTGCCAAGCTGTGTGCGCCAGGTCAGGGGCATTACATGAATTTTCAAGCTGGTGAGTTTTTCAGAACATGACTCCTCTCTAAGCGAAGGGGCAGCTATACATCTGAAAGGGCAACAGAGGAGGAGCCAGGGCAAGCTTGAGGACAGGTCCTGTCATGGCATCTCGCTTTGCATCTTTAGTCAGCTGAAGGCTGCCATCACTGTCATTAGCCAAGCAGTCTGTGTGAGCCCCTCTACTTCCTTGCAGCTTATTTCCTTGTCTATAAAATGGGGGTAATGGTCTCTGCCCAGCTTAGCCCTCTGCAGACCTACAGGAAACAAAATCATCAGGTCCGTCAAAGGCCAGGTAAAGAGAGTCACAAAACATGAAAGCCCTAAATACAGACTGTGAGTCGAGTCTTCTCACAGGATGTCCAAAGCCCTCATTACTGCCTTCATTTTTCCAAAAGATTTCTCTAAAATCTAAAATTCAAGCTAACAGCAGAGTGGCCCTCACTTCTGGGTCACCGTGGGTTGAAGAGCTGAGTTTCCATTTCAGCCAGGTCACAGACATTCAGATGGATGGAGTCCTCGTTCAGTCTCTGAGGTCCTGTAGGCCAAATTACCACTTCTTTCTTTGATTAGACTTATACCATGCTCACAATGTGTCACATTAAACTAGAAACTTGAAAAATAAAAAAAAAAAAAGGGAAGAAAGACTTTTTGTGACAATAGTAGTGATCTTATATAGGAATAGGATAAGTGTCTTAACTTTTACCAAGAAAAGTGGTTTGTTATAACATTCCAGTGGATTATGTCCTACTTTTCTGTCTCAGTGGAGAAATCAAACAGGAAATCACCTATTCACCAGGACTGGCAAACAGCTCATCAATCCTACCTGTAGTTTTACATAAATCCCCGCCTTTCATAAAAATACCATTTCAGCAAGGCAGTAAAGAGTCCCTAATTATGATCGTCAACCCTCAGGTAATGTAGTATGACCCAGAAGACAGGAGATCATTTGAAGACCAGAAAGGGGACTGAGAACCAGAACTAAAGATCGACAGACAAACGAACTCTCAATCCTGACGAGGAAATTCAGCTTCGCTCTGCCACCCACCTAGCCTTTCTTCACAAGCAGAGGCTGCACATGGGTGACAGGCTTTTCCACCGTAGTTATAATTTCATTTCACAAGTAAAGGGTTCTCTCGCCAAGTATAATAGGAGAACAGAGAGCCTGTCTCTCTGTGAATTACTGAAACACAGTTTCTGATAGCCCATTTTGTCACGTTGGGCAGAAAAGCCACCCCAAATCACTTCTTCTGTACCTGTCCACTATTGGGGCAGTAAGATGGTACAATAACAGTGAAGTAGAAAAGACCAGCTAGGCATGAAATGGTCCATAACACAAGGGATCTTGGGAAAGAGCAGTGTTTACCTCTACTTTTTGGCTCTGCATATTTGTTATTTGGCCTACCACCACTTGTAGCCTTGGTACAAAAACTGAGTGTTAATCTTAGTAATCTCCAATGAGATGTGTCCACAAAGAACAAAGTTATTTAAAAAAAAAAAAAAGAGGAAGAGGAATTCAGCAGATAGCTTTCTACAAGTAATTTCAAAAAGGTTTTCTTAAGAAAATGAACCAGTGTAGATTCAGAGAATATAAATAACTTAATGCAACAAATGTGGGCTTTTTAAAACTGTTTTTCTTTTATTCTTAGATAGGACAGTGATTAAATACAGTTTAACTGACGAAGATGAATTTCAAACACAGGGTGGTCTTTTTCTCCTCTTAAGATAGATGGCACAAAGGTACCCATAATGAACCTGGACTCTTAATTTTATCCCAATCCTAGATCAAACCAATATGAAAAAGATGCATTCATTCAACATTAAGTACCATTAACTGCTAGTGGACACTATTATGAGGCAGGGAAGATGCCCAAGGTAGGCTAACCTTCCAGAGACATCTTATCACCTAAACCCCATAAACAAGATCGCTAAATTGCCATTTGGGCACCTTTTTATCTAATCTGTCTTACTTCAGAGCATATTTAACTGGATCCAAAAAAAGGGGGAGGAGAAGTGGCTTATCAACACATATTGTGAAGAGCATCAGATGGCAAAAGAAGTCTAATCTTTTAGGTGCAATTTTGATTCTGGAATTATCAAAACGAGAATAACTCCTAGCAAAACAGCTCAAGATATACAAGTCTTGTTAGTGCCTGCAGGAAAGCAATGCAGCAACACCCCCTCCCCAGTCCAATTAGGAAAAAGCCCCTGAGGAGGCTCAAACCCTTCCCAGCCCAATTCTTGCTCATTATCACTGGGTCGGTAACCGAGGCACCCTGCTCTGCTCTACCCTACACACCCTCTGGGATGCTATGGCATGCCTTAGTCAGCTTGTTCCACTTTAGCATTATCAGACCCCAACAACCAAAGTTCAATTGATCGCTTTTGCCTTAAAAAACATCAACAAACCGTTTGCTCCTTCTTTTCTAAGTTCCCCCGGTAATTCTTCACAAAATCCAACTGAAAAAATCTGCAAGTCCTCTTGGATTTCTAAAGTCTGAGAAAACTAAACAGTAATTTAGAAAATACTGGCTATGACTACTCCCTAAAATTATTCCACAGAAACAAGGAGCTGTACCACCTGCACCAATGATCTCAATAACTGACAATTTCTCTCTTCCTGCCCATTAGTATGCACACACAGTACCTATGATTTAAGTCAACACTACAATGACACCTCATCTTTCTGAATCACAAAGGGTGGAGAGAAAGCAGTTTGAATGAAATTTGATTTAGATTACTTTCTTTCTTTCTTTTTTTTAAGTGAAAGAATAAGGCACTTAGCTAGGGAGCCATAGTATGATTAAAATAAACAAACAGCAAAAACAAAAACAAAACCATGGACCCGATGCCCTGACAGGTTTGTAAAGACAACATAAGCGGCCAGCAAGGCCATGTCAGCTTCCAACATATGAAGAATGGCAGTTTCCTTTGCAAACGTAGAGCCCGTGGAAACAGACCGGAAGTGCCCTCTAGTCTCCACATCTATCAAAAGCTTCCATCGCCAATCCCAATTCCCTGACAAGCCCCACGCCAGAGGTGACCTACACCTCCTAAGAGTGCTGATGACATTTCCTGAGCACTTTAACAGCTAGAGCCACATGGGTGGTTTACCTGTGCGTTTTGCTCTCGATTCCAGTTATCATTCCTGTTTCCCTAGTGCCACACAACACACTTACACAAAGGAGGAACCCCCAAATGCCAGTGATCTGCCAAAGAAGACTAGAGGGGACTCTGCCGACTTGTCATGCAGGAGGAGAACATGGCAAATGACCAAACCAGGACACTCATGAATACAGCACCATGGTGACTTTTACTTATTTTTTGTAGCAGAAGGGGTGACTCGCCACCATCTGGAGTTTCACCTTCCCCTGTTTGTTTTATTCCTTCTCGTTCCTTTAGGCAAACAGAAAAATTCACTTAAGCCAGGACACAAAAACTGGCATTTTGAGTGATACCTTAGAAAAACATCTTTCGATGTACTTTTGGTTTTATTTTCTCTGTAGAAACACTCTAAACAGTTCATTAAAAGGGGGCCCTAAACATGTTTAAGTGATTTGCTTTACAGAAAATTATTTTAAAAAGCAATATTTTGAAAAGGCAGCAGCTGTCGGGTTCCCCTTATGCTCCCTCTGAGCAACCCTTCAATGCTGGGGGGTTGTGCTACCCACAGCTCTTCGCAGACCACAGTTCCACTCTGCAGCCACCTAGGGCGCCGGCTGAGCCCTGCTGGGGCTGGGGCTGGGGAGCTGGCCAGGAGCACTGACCACCCCACCACGGCAGCCGAGCAGAGATGGCAACTCCTAGCAGCGTCTCCCGGTTGAAAGGACGAGGCACGAGCTGTTTGCTCCCATTGTCTACCTCTGAAGGTTACAACAAATCAGCCTCTGATCCAATTAAAATCCCTCCAGTTCATGTTTCCTCCAAGAAGGACAAAGCACAGATGACCCACGAGCTTGCTGGAAACACAACCAGTCGGGTGTGGTGCTGGCTGATAGATGAAGAGTTAAAAAAGATTAAAAATTTAAGTCATGACTGCCACGAAATTGTTTATTCATGGTACAGTGTTTTGGGCAGTTACAGCTGTACAACAGTAAATTGTTAACAACCATTTCCTGAAGAAAAATTTCCATTATAGATCACAGAGAAGACAAGGAGCAGAGCGCAGCGGGCAGGGAGATGGGGTTCCGCCGGCAGAGGATGTGTCAGCTACGAGTCAAGAGGGCCCATCCTTCCCTGAAATCACGGGAAACTGAACTGTGAGGACGATGACATTTACCCTAATTGCTGCATCTAATTAAAATTAAGGTAATTAAAAATTTTCAATGCACTTTAAATGTGACGTAGGGCATAATTAGATTTTTAAAAATATCGTGAGGGCAGTTGGGTGAAGGTTAGCATACAAGAGTGGGGAACAGATTAGCTCTCAGAAAACAGGAGGGAATGGCAGTCTGTCAAGAGATATTATAGGGGGATGTGTTTTCTTCCTTTCTAAAGACCAGGACTTAACAATGCGGAACATCTGCGCCCTGCCTCTCCCGAGCATGCCTACGTGGGACGTGCTGCTCAAGTCAGTCTTCTCCCCAGCGGGAACCGGCTGGTGAATCAGCAAAATGTCAGTATCCTGGGAAAGCTGCTACTATTATTTTGGGTTGGCAGGAGAGAGCTGTGTTTCCAGAAACATAGCAGGTAACTCTGGTATTCATTCACAGGATGAGGTGTGCCTCAGGGTCTCTGTCGGAGATGTGGTGAAGCCCACAGGGAAGGCTCCAGAGCAGGAAGGAACGCTGGACGGGACATCAGCACCTAGAGTGCCAGCCTTGCCTCCACAGTTGGCCGTCCAGCATCTGGCCTCAGACTTGTCACTACAGAAACAGATAGGGCACTAGGCTAAATTACTGCTAAGGTCTAAGGGATTTTGGAAGCTTCCATTCTATAGATGACTTGAAAGTGAAGTCACACCTCAAATGCCAATTGCTGAATCTTTGTCCTGGAAAGGATCCCTCATATGGCAGGTAATGGCTTCAGAATAATTATTTACCTCCTCTCCAAAATCTGTATGTGGAAACCCAATGTGTGACAGTGTTTGGAGGTGGGGCCTTTGGAGGTGATCAGGTTGCGAGGGCAGAGACCTCAGGGATGAGATAGATTAGTGCTCTCATAAAAAAGCCGGCACGTTCCCTTGCTCCTTTCCCCACAGGAGGACACAGTAGGCTGTCTATGAACCAGGAAATGTGCCCTCACCAGACACCAAAGCTGCCAATGCCTGGATTTTGCACTTCCCAGAATCCAAAACCATGAGAAACCAATTCCCACTACTTCTCAGCCACCCAGTTCATGGTATTTGGTGATACAGCCCAAGCTGACCAAGACAATGCCCACTGTACAACACTGCTTGAGCATCCAGCGCAGCTCACGGTGCCTGGAATGTCAAGGCATCAAAGCCTGTCCACAGAATGAATCCAGGAGACCTTCCATGGAGCTCACTGACACAAGCTAACCCCCCACAGCAACCCCTGGTGAACACAGTCCTCAACCTGGGGACCAGCAGAGCAATTATTAACACTGTCTAACATTACATGGAAGCATCAGAAATGTCTTAAGATTGCCCTTCAAGAAGTCGGCATTAAAATTATTCACTGATTTATTTCTATGAGAATTATCAAGCAAGAAAGAACCTAGTCAGACATGCTCTCAGGAGAGAGATTACCAGCAGGATGAAAATAACGTGAAGCAGCAGCGGATTTCCCATGAATATCACTCAAGCAGACTAACTACATTTGTCTCTTACCTCTGGAAATCTAGAGTCAAACAGAACAACTATTAAGAGGAAATTTTGGTTTAATGAACATAGCCTTGTCCACAGGCACATCAAAAATCTTTTACATTAAAGCTATTGCACACTTGATGGCAAAGACAAAGTATGAAATGGTTTTGGAAGTCATGACTCAAATTCACTTATAAGGAACATTTACCAAGTGCCTAATGAGCAACAGGAACCTGCTTGGCACTCTGACAGCTTCTCTGATCCTCTCACTAACACTGAGAGCCAACTATCTGTGCAGGTGAGGGGAGGCACCGCGCTTTACCTAAGAAGGGATGCTGGGAGTCAGACCTAGCTTGTCTGCTTAGGTCTAATGCACTTCCAACCAATAGGAAATGCTCTTTATTCCTCTTTAAGGAACTGGAATATAGCAGTGGACAAAACAGACAAGCTTCCCTGTCCTCAGGCCATCCCAGTGTGCTTTCCACCACGGTTCACTGCCTCCCCTGGTCAGATCCACTGGGCCATCTGCTAGTGGAATGATGTCTAGATCAACACATTCAAATCTGTCTGGCCTTGCCTCAATAAGGGCTTCCAAAATCAGTTCCTGAAAATTAATGCTGCTAATGTCTGAACAGATACATCATTATGAATTCTAGTACTAATAAAAGCAAATAGGACAATTAAGGATTTGCCCAAGGTTTGTTAACAGATAAAAACTGGATTTTCAAATGAGTAAAGAGCAGCGTGTGTTTCAAGATGGAAGATAATTAGAATGGAAATAGAACACCAGACGTGACAGCACACATCAGCAGAGACAGACAGGGGAGGAGCGTAAACAGCCCCCTCCCCGAGTCAGCCTTCTACTGAGGATAGATCTGAAAGGATATCTGTATTATCGTGTCCCAGCAACCCGAGAAGCGACTGCACAGCATTCAGCTCCACCAGAAGGTGGTACAGGTCTGGCATGGTGGCCACCACGTGCATCTCTTGAATGATGTCATTCAGGTCCAGCTCAGATTCCATGAACCTAGGAGGGGAGAACAAGACAGCGTCATTAAAAGGAAGGGGCACTACCGGCGCCGAGGAGCAAACAGCAACACATCCAGACAAAGAGACGATCTGTCAAAGTGTCTACGACAGACCAACTAAGAAGTACACTCATCCAAACATCATACTGTCACACAATTTCCTTGGGAAATCGATTTCCTCATTACAAAAATCAATCTTGGGTTCAGATCTCATTACAGGGTCCCCCTTACTCCTGCGGTCACAAGCTACCTTTTAGAGGCTCTCAAAGCATTTTGCAGCCAGTGCTATGGATTAGCAGCTACCAACGCCCCTTGGTGTGGCAACTCACTCTGGCCCTGAACTAGCTATCCCACCAATCCAAAGGGGCTTCTCTATTCCCCTCTTCAGGTCAGAAGTCAATTATTCCCCTCTTCCACAGGAAGACAGTGGGATTCTGCAGCTCCCCCCAAAGTTCCTCTTTTCTCATGCTGATTAAGAGGTAGGTCCCAGGTGAGGCTGACCTCATCTCGGGCATCTGTAACCACCACCACATCCACTCAGCATGCCCCTCACTCACACTTCTACACGGGAACTTCTCAGCGACCTGTGCCCAGGCCTGAAGGGCGGAGCTACTTTGCATTCACTTTGCACACCCTCCCCTAGTGCCTGACACACGAGGAACATCATTAAGCCTGGGAGGAACGAGACAGAAAGGTCTGTTCTAAGAAGGAAATGAGCAGAGCCAGGTAAAGCAATCAAACGATACCTGATTGAGAGTGACCAGAGGAAGCAGCGGTTAAACAGAGCCCGGGTCCAGACTGCTGGGTTTGAACCTGGCCTACCCACCTACTCAGCCTCTCTACATCTTAGTTTCTTCATCTATAAATGGGGACAATACTGTGACCTGTGTCACAGAGCTACTGTAAAGCATAAAAGTAAAAACACATAAAGCACTTACGACATACAGCATAGAAGACTCCCTGCGACTACACTGCACTTATTGCTATTATCATAACACATCCATCTTCTCTTCTAGAACATAAGTCAGGAACCCTATCTTTTGTACATAAATGCACAAATGCTTACGTTCACTGAACAGAGGTCCAAAAGAAAGAGAACATAAGCATGGATTCTTAAAGTCATATGAGACTCAACAGCGTCCAGACACTGAGACTGGGCAGATACCAGAATCTAGACATCTAGATTCCATAAGGAACAAAATATGAGACTACAACTTTTCAAAATTTGCCCATATTTAGATGACATTCTTTACCATCGTTTTCCCCATTATTTTTAATAACATTTATATTTTTTTCTAATTACAAAATACTACTTTTTATAGAAAACAGGAAAAAGAATGACAAAACCTCAAAAAGTCAACAGAAGCAGGATGTGGTAGTGCACACCCGTAACCTCAACTACTCTGGAGGCTGAGGCAGGAGGGTCGCAAATTTGACTGGGCTACTCTTAGCAAGACCTTGACTTAAAAAAAAAAGAAAGAAAGAAAAAGAAAAAAAGGGGGATGGTGCTGGGGGATTACCTTAGTGGCAGCACACTTGCTTAGCACACAGGGTTCAAACTCTGCTAACACACACACACACACACATATATACACACTACATGGAAATCATTCATGACCCTATAAATAAAAAATTCTCATTGACAACATGCTTGTGTGTGTTTAAGTCATTTTCTCAACTCACAACCTTTTTCTCCCCCAAAGTTACAGAGCATGTATAGTTCTTTTTTTTTTTTAAAGAGAGAGAGAGAGAGAGAGAGAGAGAGAGAGAGAGAGAGAATTTCAATATTTATTTTTCAGTTTTCGGCAGACACCACATCTTTGTTTGTATGTGGTGCTGAGGATCGAACCCGGGCCGCACGCATGCCAGGCGAGCACACTACCGCTTGAGCCACATCCCCAGCCTGAGCATGTATAGTTCTAAACTCGAGTTTTGCTGTCGTTGGTAACACAGGTTGAAAAATTTACCCTTCTTTAACCATTCTTTGACAGCAGGTCAGGCCACCTGACCAACTGTTGTCAGTGGCTCTCTTTCTCCCAGGGCAAAATCTCGCATGACCAAAAGGGCTCCTCCCTGAAGAGCCCAGACACAGCTGCAGAAGACAGCCCTCCCCACAGTGCTCCAAGAACAGTCTAGCAGAGTCAGCCACACAGCGTAGCGGAGGCTGAGTTTACTGCAATTCTTGTTCTAAATCATAAATTTTAAATAGCTACGTAGTATATGCCCTTGTGTTGGTGTACCATAATTTATTTAACCAATCCCCCTTTGTCAGGCATGCGATGCTTCTAATTTTTCCCCCATAACAAATGACACTCAGAGGCAAGCATTTCTAATGAATGTGTTAGGATAAATTCCCAGGAAGGCAAGTGCCAAGGCAAAGAGTACACCTGACTTAACGGATGTTGACATGTTCTGCCAGAAAGGTGGCAGCGCATGTGAGGAGCCCGTTTCCCTGCCCTCTCCACAGACTGCATCACTCCCTTCAGACCACCTCCAGTACAAGATCAGAAAGGCTCTTTTAACTCTTTGCATTTCACACACTAAAATGGTTAAAATTCTTCTAATGTTTACTATTTGGGTTTATTCTTTGTCCATTTTGAAATCGGGGTGCTCATCTTGATTAATGATTTATTAATGCTCTCTATATTAAGGAAATGAAGCTCTGTCATATGTTGCAAAAAAGGAAAAACAAAAGTATTGCCCTTTAATTTGTTCACTGTGTTTTCTGACATAATTATTTATATTTATTTATTTACTTACATGCTTACTTTTTGACATAATGGTTTTCAAAAGTTCAGGTGGTCAAATTTTGCCTTATGAACTCTATTTTACATATACCTCGAGCAAAGACTTTTCTATGCTAAGACCACATAGATTTTATGGTTTATATATATATATTTTTATATATACTTAAATGTTTAATCTATCTGATTTTAATATATCATACAGGGCAAAGGTCAAATTTCATTTTCTGCAAGTATTTAGCCATCTACCCCAATATGATACTCTATCCTTTCCCACTCATTTGAAGAAATGCCATCTATCACACACTAAATTTTAATGCAAATTTTAGTCTGTTTTTGAAATTTTCACTCCACATCACCAGTTTATCTGGTAATTTCTAAGCCAGGACCACACCTCCACATGGTTATAGCTTTAGAGTAGGTTTAATGTCTCTTATTGCAAAACACTCCTTTGATAAACCTTTTCAATGCTTCCTTACCTTCTCTCTCACCTGCTTGCTCTTCAAAGTAAATAACATATTTTTTAAATCAAGATTCTCCCCCAATATATATTTTTTTTATTTTAAAGACTCCTTCCTTTGTGCTTATAAATAGAGTACTTTTTTAAGTCACTATTCCTCATCACCTGAAATGTGGAAGCCAAATCAGCATCGTGAGTCAGGAGCGGAGGTGGGGGTGTAACTTATGGAGAGAGCGCTTGCCTAGCATGTACAAGGCCCTGGGTTCCCTCCCCAGAACTGCAAAAAGGAAAAAAAAAAGGCTGGTGCAGAAGGATTCAAATATTACAGGGCAGCAAAACAACATAATCCCTGAACCCAATGGGCTTGGCAAACTTCTAAGGCTTATTTGTCTTACATGGTATTTAAAAAAAAAAAAAAAAAAAAACTTCAAAAAAATAGTAAGTTGAACTTACTATGTTTTCTAGTCCATCCAGAAGAACTAGCAAAGGAGACTGAGCCCTAGATAACAATAAACAAAACTGTGCTGAGCACAAGACAAGATTTGGGGATCTGGGTGGAAATCGGGAAATGAGTGTCAGACTCGGGGAAGCCTCCAAAAACTCCCGTGGGGCTCTGTCCTCGGGACTGTTTAGATCAATGATCTTGTTCTATCATGACTCTTTGATCAGTGAATCGGGTGAACATGAACATACAAAAAAGACGAACTTTACAAATGTCATATTAACACAATTTAAAGAGACAGAAAACACACCAGCTAACAGAATCAATTCCCAAGATCCTGACAGGTAATAATGATGCAGCAAATCCAACCAAGGGAAAATGACCTGGGTCCATGAAGAAAACTGAAGCATTGAACCAAAAAGCCGAGTATAAGTGTCTGTGATAGGAAAGGAGCATTTCACAAGAGTATGTGTGTGTGTAGAAAGGACTTGATGGTTCAGCCAACCCTAACTGCAACACAAATCAGAACCATGAGGTGGTTCTGCCCGGACAAGGTCTACTCCCTACTCATCTCTGGCCACCAGCACCTGCCCTACTTACCGTCCACCATAGAGACTTGGCAGGCGCCTGCCAAAGGAAGGAGCAGAGGAAATCAGTGACCACAAATGCCACTATGGTTTTAGAACGCTTAAAAGAAGACACGAGCTCTCGTGCCAGTCAGACAACCTTGAAATTTTGTAAAAATCTGTCCTACGAACCTAACTTGAGGGGATATGGAAACTGACCCTGGGAGCAACCAAGATAACAAATAGTTTCGATAGCCTCTCAAATTTGTTGGAATTCTTCTTCAGTTGAAATCTTGAGTCAGAACTGCCAAATGATGGAATAGGTTTCTTTGAAAGCAAGATCCTTGCGACTGAGGGTAGTTTTGTGTATTGTTTTTTTTTTTTTAAGGATAATACTAAAACAAACAAAAAAACACACCAAGACCTAAATGGTTTCTTCCAACTTTGCAATTCTTCTTCAAAATATATGGTATTAAACCAAATTTTTAAGTTTAGAAAGTCAGAAAACTATTAAAACAAAATAAACCAGTAGAAACAAAACTACAAGATAAAAAACATCACAAAACTACCTCTGGGTCCAGTAATGAGCTAGGGTGGTAAACGCCTGGGTCATTCTCCCAGCCAAAATATTTACTGGCTGTAAATAAA